TAGCATAACTATCCAAGAATTCCAGGGATAAGCGACTGGACCAGCACTCAACGACATTTGTGACGAGGAGGAAGAGATCTTCGAGCAACACCCTAAGCCATACGCAAAAGGATTTCGAAAACCTTCGCATATAGTGTGTGCGAAAAAGTGAATCGCATGCAAGAAGTGCTGGGACCAGCACATTGTGATACATGATTTCGGCTAGTACTATAGTGAACAAATTATTATAGTATTCACCTGTATCACCCTCTGTAACGTTGGCCGCCGACTGACTTGACCGGGCGCCAGTAAATCTATTTACTCTGTCGCGTGGAATGGAAGACCTCTTACCCCGGGGAATCCATAAGCTCAAGGTTCTTGTCCATTGGTTGTCGTTAGTGCGCATTGTCTGCCCTGCCCCCTTACCTTCGACTGTTTGGCGCACAGAAAGATATCCTTGATTTTTGGCAGTTGACGAAGGTCGGAGCTTCAGATCCTTCCTCTTGCTCGTGTGACACGGGATACTCCTTGTATCGTGTTTTCGACGGCGCGTTCAATAAGGCTGAGTGACCTTTAATCCTGCTTACTCAGCCACCAGGTTTCTGACGCATACGTTAAGGTAGGAAGGACCTTGAAGTCGAAAATATAGGCACGAAATTGGATGTTCTTTGTTCTCCCTGTTCATGAATGCTCCCCGAGCCACTCGTTTCTTTCTGCTCAACTTTGGAGCTAAGTCATCTATAATGTTGATTTTCCGACCTGGATAGAAGTAACTAGAGCATTCGGAGACATTCATTATGCGAAATTATAATATTAAATATTGTAATATTAACAATCATCTTGGCTCGTTGCTTTATACTGGCCGTGACTTACTATTCAGACGAAATGCTAACACAATGAAAGGGTTCTAGTCGCAAGACAACTTAATAGCCCACTCAGAAGGCTTGTTGATTACGCATGGCGATGACTTAAGAACACCTCCCACCGGTTAGCCTATGGCAGAAATCTAGAGAAAATCAGAAAACCACCGAATCTCCAGTCACGGAAGAACTCATATATGACTCGGCCACCTCTAAGGAGGATGACGATTCTAAGATATAAAGATGAATGAAGCTCTTGTAACCATATGACTTCCCAACATGGATCAATAAATTATAAAAGTGATTTCAATAAAGGAGGAGAGAGAAACCCAGTGGATAGTGATGCAGTTCATCACAAAGCAAAGTGCTAGTTGACCCTCTCCCAAAGGCCTTCTCCAGTCCATGTAGGACTCCCTAGCTCAGCTTTTCTCAAGATTTAGGAGAGAATCCATTCGATCAGCCCTCTACGACATTCATCAGGAGGATGGAATCCTCATCCAGCAGCCGAAAGAACACGGGAAATGCTCGAAGAACTTCGTAGACGATGAATGAGAAGAAAATCAAACGAATGCAAGAAATGCTGGAATCCTCATAGTAAGTGCAATAATGATTCATGTAAAATTAAAAAAATAAAAGCTTCAACAATGAGAAGTGCCTTTTAGGAATAACTGTGAATAAAAAGCGGTGACTTAGCACAGTAGTTGCATTTGTGGTCTGGCACAACTTCACATGCCCAGGTAAAACAAGTCATTATTCTCTTCTGCGTTAGGAAAGTGGCGAGCGGATAAAAACAATAAATTCATGTTTAACTTTTTGTTCACAGCCTACTATTTTTTTCTTCACAGCAGCGCGTGATGTGAAATACAATCACTACGATGCTGAGATATATGAAAGGGTAATAGTGGGTTCAACTCCGGCATGGGCTCCAAGTTGTGCAAATATCTCAGCATCATACTGCTTACTAGATCGATAGGGCGCCACAATTCATTGTTTAGGAAAAAGGTACTTTCCCTCATCTGTAGTGCACTTAGTGAAATTGAGTGCCTGATGTATTCCCAGAGGATTGATCAACGCCGAATGCCTTATCTTTTATACTTCCTAACTGTTTTGCCAGTGATATGCTTAGCATCAACATCTCAATCCATCTAGTTAGTTTCATTTCTGCTTACTCTTCGATCAACATGGCTTTAGGTACTTTTCATACGAAGGAGGAGAACTCAGCAAAAGTACGAAAGCAGCGAAAAACAATAAGACGTAGTCGAAAGAACAGAACAACTGATGAAACAAGGTACAGTCTCTTCTGTGCAACTTCTTCTTGATATTCTTAATGTGACGAACTGCTTGAGAACTACAGCACCAAATGTTGGTGGTCCATAAGCCAATGTCGCCAATGTGAACAAGTAATGGACACCAACACCATAATAACGCTTGTTGTCTGTTAATGCCTCGCTATTGCGATTAAAGTTGTGACGAAAGGCTAACTTATCAACAGCGAACAATATAGAAAGTCTGTTTTGCTAAATTTCTTCATGCAGGAAAACAATAGGTAACATTAAATACTTCATAATTTAAAGTATGTGGGACCTAGTTGGAAATTTAAGTGGTCCGTCTTCACGAGGAATTGTGCAGGTAACAGTCCAATTTCCGATTGGTAGGTAATTTGATGGACACGTGAGATTCCTTTCCTCTGGACTGCTGATGTAGCCGTGTTAGGGTCTTTCACATCGTCACTTTGAGAGATCGCTGGTCCTTTGAATCAGAGAGAGAGAGAGAATAACAGAGAATAATCAGAGAATAACAAGCGAGGACCACCGACTCGGATCATCGGCTCTGAGGAAGACGAAGACGTCGAAACGTTAGCCGAAAATAAACATCATTATCAACCTCGTGTAAGCTCATCAAAGAAAGAATACATAGAGAGAGAGAGAGAGAGTTACAACGAGACGTAACTACGTTTCCACTAAGACACCATTGACTCCTGGAACTGCTTTACTGTAAGCTGGGCTTGAGAATGAACAGGTCGAACACTTCTTTTCACCGGATAAGGATGACTAAAATGAATGTGGACCTCCGCTGTATTTACACTTCCTGCCAAGATAAGGCGATATGCCGTCGATAGCGTGCAGGCCATATTGAATCGAGACGTTGTGTTAAATTTTTTGAAGTGATTAGAACCATTATAAGTACCTATGGATGAAATGTAAAGAACAGATAAACAGACAATCTTAACTCCAGCGATAAAACCAAGAAAATAAAGAGGTAAATTTCAAAATTCTGGAATTCTTTTTTTAGCACCAGTTAGTACCGATTAATATCAATAGTTTGGTATCAAATATAAAAAGGTGTACGGGAAAGTGAAACCTTGTCTATTAAAATCAGAATAAACGCCCCCATTTAGGGAAGAAGATGCCGCACCAAAGTGAGTGTAGTTTTGCCGAAATATTTAGATTAAAATAGAGTTTCTATGCTCGTTCTATTTTTCTTGAAGATCCAATAAACTTTTGCAAGGAAGCCAAAAATTACCGATCTTCGCACGTCGAGCGCAGGTATGAAGATCATGAAGAATCTCAACATTTCCCCACTGAGCGCTCATTCACTGAAAGTAATGGTCAGAGCTGTTTAACACATCAACCGAGACTCCTCGTTTGCTTTCCTATCGGCCTTGCTTTCACTTTATTAATGCTATTAGCAAAAGCTGGTCAGTGAAAATGGAAAAAGGGCAATTGCAAAGGATAAAAAGCAAAACAAAGGCCTCGTTAAGTGTAGTGGATAGTACGTGAACTCCCAGTTATGGTAATCACGGGTTCGAAGTCCAACTGAGGCTCCAAGTTTTGCTTATATCTCAGCATCCTTGTGGTTGTATTTCGTATCGTACCCTGCCATGAAGAGCGTGTGCAGAGTAGTGGTTGGAGGCGCCCTGCAACACACACGTGGAACCGATCCCCGCGCCCATGGCCCACCAAGCTCTCCATCATTCCAGAGTCGGCAAATTGGCACCAGGCTTGTCTGGGAGGATAGCAGCACTGGTTCGATACATTGGTAGGCCACCGCGAGTCATTGTAAAGGCTAGGTATGCATTCAATCACCTCCAAACGATGCTTAATGAAGTCGAATGTATGGCGCATCCCTTATGGATTGATCAACGCTGAGTGCTCTATCCTTTTCCTTACCTCTACATGAAGAAATAATAGACGGCAAACAAAATTTAAAATGCTGTAGCGCTGTGTTTTGTTTACTTTCCATCGTTGTGTGCTCAGGTGAAAGCATTCGTAGAGCATACGCTTAGAGCAGGCGTTGCTGGTCTTGTCACTGAGTTCAAATCTATGAAACGAACGAACGACTTCAATGTGATGACAGAATTTGTGGCTCAGATACCATATGGAAGAAATCGTTACAAGGTATCTATAACGTTCTTCACTACTTAAGCTTTGTTTTTCAATATTTTCGTTGTCCCACTAATAATATGTACAAGCAGGTTTCATGGGCAAAATAATAAATTTTGTACTCGGATATTTGCATGGGCCCTTTATGTCGTTCAGGTAAAGAGTCTATGAATAGCTGTGCTTGGGCATTCTCAAGAATAGAAACGAAATAAGGCGCTGAAAGCTCAGAGTTTATTAATGCCGTGTAGTAGACGCTTTGTACGAATTAGTTCAACGTTTCCTCAAGTCGAGCCTTCCTCCGAAGTCATATATTGGTATGAGACCGGTTTGGGATACTCCTTCTGTATCCACAAAGACTAACTACTACTTATGAAGGCGTTGTGGAAGCGGGAGGAGGGACCTGCAACAGAGATCTCCAGGATTACAGGTACAGATCAACTCAACCAAAATTTAGTAGTATTTATGAACAACACAAGGCCATCATGCAGCAGCCATACCCTAGTATGAATTCGAACAGCTTCGTGAACCACTGATGCAACGCACTTAACCGACTTAAAGAAATGCTGGAATCCTCACCATATGTGACAAATGACATGAATGAATAGTGACTAAGTATCGAGACGAGCCAACACTCACTAGTGCTTTGCCACTTTTATCTTATTCTCCCCCCGTGACCAAGTGTAGACAATATTTTCTCAGTAGAGCATTTGCTGAGCGCGAATTTTCCGTTGCTTAAAAAGCGCAAATCACGGAAAGTTTCCCTTCTTTTAACTTGAAGACAGACGGCATAGTTCAGTGTCATGCTTTACTTCATACAAATTGCTGTTGTGCCTGAATTGTGCGACAGAAATGCATCGATTCCAGGATGTCGGATGTCTGGACTTTCAACGTGTAGTGATCAACATCGGCCCAGTCTCCTACATTCACGCCAACTACGTGGCAACGCCACTCAATCCGAGACGGTTTATCTGCACACAGGTGATTAGAAAAGTATTACTATGTAGCTATCTATTTATTTATATAAACTATCAATAAATATTGTGCAGAACTAAGCATTTCTTCTAATGACACAAAAGACCGACTTTCTGTAAACCTCGGCATAAATAATCGGTAATTTATGTTTTTACGAACCGATCTTGCTTTGTTGATTCAACGTTGGTATGGTTGTTGTTGTTGATGTTCGTCGATGCCTGACGTTTCGGCGATTTCGCCTTTCTCAGACCTTCGACGTATTTCGTACAAAAATGGATTAACAATTCGGTGAAAAAACCAAAGTATTAATAATGATCTGGCATATAAATAAACGCCATATTGATAAAAGCCTACTCACCGTGCTGTTACAAGTGGGACTGCCTGCGTATTGTTCTCTTGGGATGACGAGCGAGACCCACCCCAGCTCAAAATATCATTTTGAAATAAGGCGCCAAAACATGTGTTATAGTGAGGCATTCGTCTTCCCGGTTCTTCTTTGGATTTTTAAAATTTCTCCAAAACGCCTCATGGGTCTTGCTCGTTGATACTTTTGATTCCTGCGCTAGAATGCGGGCAGTCTCTTCAAAATCATCTCCATTGTGCTTTTGTACTCTATGTTTACCTACAGGAGTGCTTTGAGGAATTTTAACTTTCCCACCTAGATGTTCTTTTCTGCGGACACGAAGCGGTCTACCCGTTTCTCCAACGTATTCCTCACCGCATGCCTTGCATGAGATTAAGTGTATTGTACCCGATCTCATGCAATCCCCGTCTTTCCCGTTAGGACGGATCATACAGTTTTCTGCGCTGTACAAACGATCATAGAGGGGGTTGTGAGCTAACTCAGTGCGTACAGTATTGGGTGGGAGGCCAGTAACCGCCACATAACTTCAATGATGCTGAGATATTTGCAAAACTCCAGACCGCAGGTGTATGCGGTGGGGAACGAACGCGCTATCACACTTTCTTGGGACTAACGCGTTCACCACCACACCATACAGGTCTTTCGTTTTCCCTGTCTCTCAGTCCCGTTGACGGGTGATTGGCGATGGCGTTGATCGATAGAACTAGCTTTCTAGCACAATCTTAATTGATACATTTAACTCACAAGCGTTGGTAAAGTTAGATATTATTCTACATTTACCAATATGTCACTAGCACCAGTTAGCTGTACAGTGGGAAGTAGAAATACCTTGAGAACTGAAGCATTTGTACAGCGGCAGAACTCGTTGAATTATATCAGAACGGCGTATAACTTCTTATTTACTGCCTATTAATTTTCGATAGCAGCGTATTATGTCAAATACAACCAAATAATTGTCTATCAAAATAATTCAGGCTCCGCTCCCGAAAACATGTGCAGACTTCTGGTATATGGTTGTTCAGGAGAAAAGTGATGCGATAATAATGTTGTGCAATTTCGTTGAACAGGTTCGCACATTTCTTCTTCTCGTCGCTCTCGAATACAAAAAAATTTTGTCGACGGCGCATAACCAAGGAGCTGATTGAGCTACGGTAGCTTCGAATAAGCTATGACCCAGTTGAAACTATAGATACCGATTTTTTGGAACTTTGATAAACAGCATTTATCAATATATGTTCAGGGTTCAAAAAAATCTGCTGAATACGTGCCTCTTTCGTTCGACACCAGTCCATTGGCATTCGGTGATGTCACAGTAACTTTGAGAAAACGCGAGGAGGTAGCTGCCAGAAATGAATAGTGTCTAGACCGAGGAAGCATAACCGATTGGAACAAAGCTTATGCCAATACGAGCTCGCTTTAGCGAAGTGGCCGAACTTGAGGCTTAAAAACTGCCACCGAAGAAATTTTGAATAGAATCTAATGCTGGTTTACAGATGTTCTAGGCAAGGCGGCGTATGCTACAGCTCAACCTCTATAGTTAAAGACATTTATAAATCAGATATTGGTCTGAATAACGTTCACATGCTACCAAGTTTCTCTGGTAATCCTTAGTTGATTTAGTTCCAATTTCCTTTCAATACACGAGTGAACGTCGACGTAGGCTACCTGGAAGTGAAAATCAAAGGTGAACCACCTCATCACTGCACTCACTACCACTGGAAGGACTGGCCTGATCGAGGAGTTCCCGAAGCAGACCTTGCGCCTATCTACTTACTAACCAAGATCCAATCCACCCCGTGAGTTTTGATCCATGGAGAAAGTAGCCGTAGTAATCTTTAATGTTAATAGAGTATTCATTCATAGATCTGCTCATGTTAAAAATCTTAACCCGGTTGGTCGCAAGGTTGTGTGACTCGCCCCTAGGTAGGAGATAGTTAGTGAAGCGCACAGCTGAAGCAACCACATACCTGATATGGGACGCATGCGAGTCCTACTGATTTGTTCCCTGTCTCCGTCGCGACGAATTGACTTATATATAGCTTCCGCATAAACGTGGTCATGTTCATATACATATTTACGCTCGTATGATTGAGTGAACAATTTTTTTTTTACTAGCCATATCCTGTACGTCAATTGTAACTCAACACCCAGGAACATCTGCCAACCACGATGAAGCGGTAGACCATTGAGGGCAGGGAGATGTATGATTGAAAGAAATTTAAACAATATGTTATATACTCCTGCATGTCAGTGTGTAACAAGGTTGTTAGAGGTGCCCAGCAATACACACGATCCCTAGTTCGATCCCACATCCTCATCTCGCCAACTCCTCCATTTCTTCGGGTTGGAAAAATTGGTATCAGACTTGTCCGGGAGAGGAGGATACCAGAACTGATTAGTTTCGTGGGTAGCCTACCACGAATAAGGCCACGCCAACGATTCCATAGGTAAGATATGCATTCAGTTACTGCTAAGGAAGTTTGATGAAGTCAAATGCATTACGTATTCTTCCTCAGAGACCGATCAAGGCCAAGAGCTTCATCTTTTATCCTTTATTATGAACTCCGTTTCTCTTCGTTCAATATCAGAAACATGTTTAGAACGCCAATCGTTGTTCATTGTTCGGCCGGAATCGGGCGAACTGGTTCTATCGTGCTCATTCAGCACGCAGTAGAACTAATAAACTCCCAAGCACCACTCACTGAAATTCGCGCACTATTGCTAAATCTACGTAAACAAAGAAATAATTCGATACAGGTAATTTAAATATAACGATACAACTTCCTAATGAAGTATTAATGAATCTCATTCATAACCCATTCATGAATTCGAATGATTAAATTCTGCACATAAATAAAACCACCACTAAAAAATGCATTGAGACCAACAACTAAAGAAGCCGAGGCTCTCTGCTAGATTTTTTCTTTCTTTTCTAGTAAAATATAATTCTTACAGACAGAACATCAATACCTATACGTTCACCAAGTGCTCTTGTTATATCTGAAAAAGTTGAAATATCTCGACGACAGTGTCATACCGTATCTCGAGCAATTCACAGCTGACTATCAAGCCGCAACAAAAGGATTCTAAGTTGAATCAAAAATGTAAGACAATTTAATTCTTGGTGTTGCCTACTTGTGTAAATCCCTCCGTTCCAGGATGGTCAAGAACTTTTCGTCTATTTTTGCCGGAATTCCTAATTTAATCTAGGACCTAGCAACATCATTATACTCTCAAATTATAGGATTTGTTAATTTCTCTCCTACAGTATGATATCATCTTATTCCAAGTATTTTTATATAACTCGTATATAATGCTGAGATATTTGCAAAACTACGAACCGCAGGTGTATGCGGTGGGGAACGAACAAGCGCTGTTGTCCTTACCGGGGAGCAGCGCACTTCACCACCACACCATCCGAGTCCTTCGTTTTGCCCGTCTCTCAGGTAGTTCTGTCGATCTTTTTGCCACCAGCAATCACCGGTCAACGGGATTGATCTGGGGAGCCCAAATCGGCATTGAACCCAGTTAAGTTGAGACTTAGTTATAATCACAATCTCAACCCTTTTATTTACTGCCTTTTTCTTTTAGTGGCTGATGGCAAAAAGATCGATAGAACTAGCTGAGAGACAGGCAAAACGAAGGACTCGGATGGTGTGGTGGTGAAGTGCGCTGCTCCC